GGCTTTCCCCCCGCCCCGCCTCTCTCCGCCCCACCACCGAGCCCGTTGCGCTCACCGTCAAAGCCATTCCCGGTCTCTGCATCCACAGCTCCGCCGCTCAGGAGGGGGGAAGCCCGCTCCGCTCGTCCCGACGCACCTCCAGAGATGCTGTTGGAGCCGTTTCTCCTGACCGCCAGCGCCCTCGGACAAGCAGCGGAGCTGCAGTCGGGAGCGTGGCAGCAGACGTGCAGCGAGCGAGACGCGCCGAGAACGGGCCGGTTTGGGCGTGCGTGAGGTGCCGACGTCTGCCGCGAGGACGGAGCGGGTCCGTGGCGTCAGACACGCGCTCTGCACCGCGCACGGGACGGTGTTTTGGTCTGAGGGCTTCCCGGTGACCGCAGGCACGCGCCGCCCCCGCCCCAGAGCGGCTCTCTGCTTTTTCAGCTCCCTTCTCCGCAAGCATCCCCCAGGAACCCCGCCTGAACCCATCTGCAAGAGGTCTTCTGTCGGCGGCTGCTTTTTGGGGGTTAATTTATGGCCGAGAGAAAGGGTCCGGGCACCGGGCAGGCTCCTGGAGACAAACCCTGACCCCGAGTCAACTGTGGAATTCAGCGGTATCGAATCTCAACCGCAACGTTTTCTCTTTGCGAAGGGTAACGAGCGAATGGTACAGATGATCGCTAGCAGGGTTCAGTGTTATGAACCTCCAATTATTTTTCTTCACCTCTTCTGGGGATGTTTAGCCTTCACGGGCGCTACTCTCCATTATCTTTTTAGTTGCTTTCTTAAGGAATGAGCCTTATGTGAGCCGGTGACACAATTCTCCACCTGCCTGCTTCCCGCCAATTAACTCCTGACCTCCCAGGGCGCCCACGCCGCGAAGATTAAGACATGGCTAACATTTTTGCAAAAACTCAGAAATGTGGCTAGAGAGACGCTGGAGAGGCTCTGCGCTGCAGGGCCGGGCCGGCAGCGTTGGGCAGCAGACTGCCGGCCCGGCATCGCTGCTTTTTCCCCGCCCAGC